GGGAGGCAAGGCAAATATAGTAGTGCTAGTATAACGAGGAATTAACTGGGGAATTATTTTATTCTTTCATACTACTAGTGTATCAGACAGGAAGGGGAGAATGGGCAATGATCATCTGTGCGCTCTTGTGGGGCTTTAGCCTGGAGAATGTGCTTTTCTAACGAATCCTTAGACGTGAAGAAGGTAGGGGTGGGTGAGATGATGAACTTGTACGAATAGCTGAAAACTCGCCCATCCCGGTGTCCTTCGCTCCTAATACGTGGCTAAGAGATTGCTCAAATCCTTGGTGACTGCTGTGGCTTCCCCTCCGTTCCACCTTTTACCTTTACCAGGAATAAGACCACTTTCTGAGCTTGAATTATAGGTATTTTTTGTTGACCTCAATCATGTTCAAATCGACATTTTGAAATAAGGTTAGGAACAACAGAGCCTGATCGTCGTCGCTGCTGTCAGATAATTTCTTACTGGCTAGGGAGCTTTCATAAAGGCTGAGACGTGATGGAAAACAGTTTTTTTGAATCTTGAATGAATGCAGAACTTTTATCATTTTCATTGCAGAAAACGCCGCATACCAATTTCTTTTCCAGATATTTCATTCCTTTTAATTTATATAGCTTTTTTTTACATGAGTGATGTATTAGAAAACTATTTGGACAAAAGTACATGGTGAAAAATTCTGTTTCAAGCATGAAATTATTCGGATGAGACAATCGGGTGAGCGTTGCTCGAGATAACGTATCAGAACCATCTGGTGACGGCAAGTCACGGAAACTTGAACAGCCTTATAACACGAGGGGTGAGTTCTGGTTATGGCTATCGAGTGCATGGGATTTGAACTCATATCGAAAGCGTATCTTTCACAGCAATGGTCGGCAGCAGCTAGTTCACTTTGAGATCAGATAGTTTTTAATTTTCCATGAGCATATGATCGTTCGGTTTCGAATCTGTTACACTGCAGAATAGGAATCACATCGCAGTGTGAAACCTTCGGGACAGATTATTTTAAACGGGTGGGTTTCCATATGTTGGCGGAAACTTTGGGAAACCTTCCACTAGAAGACCTGCTGCTATAGATGCCCTTCCCCTTGTTCTTTTGCCGAAAGCATCTTCCAAGGGGCATGTGACAAATGGGCAAGTCTGCTTTCAGGTAGAACCAAGCAACCATTGAAAGCTGATGGAAAGCGCAGGTGATCATAGTTGTTTGTGGATGTCACCAGAACTCAAAATCGTGCCCGAATGTGATTCGTTCAATTTGATCTTGCTTGTTTCCAACTTCTTTTCGAGAGGTTATTGAGAGTTGCCAGTTTGTTCACCAGAAAAAAAATATAAGGTTGAGAAGTTGAACAGGGTGTCAATTTACAGAAACCGCTTCACATTGAGCCTCACCCAACCTACTGCTGTCTCGCTTGTCTGAAGCAACATGGGCAATGACCGTTACGCAAGTGAGCTTAATTACTTGTTTTTAGATAAGACACTTTGCACGAACACAAAACAACTGAACAACATACTAAAAGAATGAGCTGCTACATCTTGAAAACGTTTGAAACTCACCATAGCTACGTCTGGATCTAATCCTCGAAATTTATACGTTCCGTCTTCGCTTTGAGTGTACAATACGTTCGATTTTGCTATGTAAGCAACTGCGGTAATTGATACACCATACTGGATGGCTATGATGATAAAAACATTCCTTTGCGACCATATCTAAACGAAATGTCTCCCGCCCACTTCTCTAGCCGATGCTGCTCATTTCAGGAAAACTGTATCAAAACTGGCTGTTGTCTGCATTCAGGACTGTATAATAGACACCCATAAACCTTTGCAACCATAAATCTGATCTTCGTGATCTTTCTCGCATACGTTGGATTAACCTGCTCGAAAGCTGCGATAGTGTTAACGCAAAAAACCACTTATTGAAGGTGCTGCACACCGTTATCGACTACTACGTCCCTTGGAAGCGAACGACCACGTTTAGTTCCGCCCCTTTACCGCGGAACTTGTGAAATACCAGTGAGCGTAGAGAATGTCTTTTTTATGAAGCAAGAAGGTCTGGGATTTGAACAAGGTATAATGAATTCATAAAACATTTTTTTCCCTTCTCAAAGAGTACTTCAGCAACGTGGAAAAGAAAATTGAGGAAGCTCAGCGTGAGAGAAGCTTTCATAGGTATTTGAATAGTAAAATGCAAGATAGAAGATGCACTGGGTTTTTAAAGAGTGGTGATCTCATAGCGAGTGGTCCAGCAGACAAGGCCAACATGTTTGCTGACCAGTTCTCTAAGTCATTTACGAGTGTTCATGCTAGGGTTCCCGAATTTTCTTCGCCCTGTATCTCTACCATGAATGAGCGACCATGGTTCTGTGATAATCAACTGTATGAACGCATGCGCTGGTCTAAGTCTACGTCTGTGCCACCTGACTTCATACCGCTGGTTTTCATCCAAAATGTAACTGATATTATCTTCGAGTCGTTGGCGTATATTTTCAATCAGTCGCTTATGAGTGGAGAAGTACCTCAACGCTGGTAGCACTCTTTCATCACCTCATTTCTAAAGAAGGAACTTCATCGGACCCGGCAAACTATCAACCTGTCAGCTCACATCTTTTTTCTGCAGACTCTGAGAAAACCATTAAAGAGCATATTCTTGGGTATGTTGCCATTCATGGAATGTCGGACCCAACATGCTTTTATCCTTGGAAGGTCGATTGAGACAAATATGATTGAGGGTTTGGATGACTGGACTGCTGCGCTTGATAATATATTGTTGCTGTGACGTCCTATTCTTGACTTTGCAGAAGCCTTCGATAGGGTGTCTCACAATAAACTAGTACACAAGCTAGGTGTTTGGGGTTTTAACCTACTTTTGAAAAATGGATGCCCTATTATCTACATGGCAGGACCTTTCAAGTTCGAGTAGGGCAGGCTACTCCAATAGCATGAGAGTGCTGAGTGGAGTGCCGCAGCGAGGAGTTCTTTTTCCGGTGCTGTTTAATTTGTACACAGAGGAGATATCTAGTCTATTTGATGGGTTACATATTGTAACCAAAATGTATGCTGATGATGTAAAGATTTGTAAAGTCGTTACCGAGCTCAAGGACCGGGAGATAATACAGCAGGCCATTAACGTGTTGGGTGACTGGGCTAAGCGGTGGCAGCTCCCTTTGGCCCGTCAAAAAACGATGTATATGACGCTTGGCAGCGATCCTGTCCCTTTTCCTTCCTGCCCTTATACCATGGGGCTACCGTCTCCCGCGTAAACTGTGTAAGGGATCTAGGCATTCTTTATACCAGCGCTGTCGACTTTTCTGCCCTTATTCGCTCTCGCTGTAAGCTAGCTTTACTGCGCAAGTCGCAAATTTTCAAGGGATTGTCTACCACGAACAAGTCCATCCTTCTCAAGGCTTATAAGACATATGTTCGCCCTCTGGTTGAGAGTCGTACCACAGTGTTCCATCCCAACAGGAGGAAGGACGTCATCGCCCTTGAAAAATTACAAAATAACTTCACGCGTGAAGTTCTTTTCCGATGTAGATGCTTTTCCTGTTCTGGTAATCCTAGAGCTTCCAGTCGTAATAGATATCTTGAACTCTCAACGTTGGAATCACTGCGCAAGGTGTTTGATGCGTGTATGGTTCACAAGCTTCGGCACCACTTCCTGGGCCTAGAACCAACGTAAGAGCCAGAAGCTTCACCTTTAGAGCTGGTGGCCTGTACATAAAAGTAACCAAAAATCTGATTATTCCCGAGGCTTTGAATAGATTCGAGCGTAAGATGACAGTGGTTCTAACCAAGCACGAGCTTTCATAGTTCTCTGAGACTGATCAGTTGATTTCATACTTGTGTCTTAGTCTAATATCTGGTTGATGTTGCATTATGTGTACATGGTTTTCGTCTTTCGTCCGTCTACTGATTTTATCTTCTGTTTCGCATGGTCTATTGTGTTGATTTTAGAAGATTGTCTTCCACTCCGTTTGCCTCAGCAGCGTAAAAAACATGAACACAAACATAGAAAAAGATGCCTCAGCGGCACTTCTGATACCTTTCTGAGCTTCTATAAGGATTTTCTTGAAAGTAAACTAATTCCTAACTGAGTTAAGGCTCTTTTCAACTGGAATTATACCTTATTATACTTGTGCATCAAGCATATGGAGGAATATCGATTGAAAGTGATGAACGCATTTCCAAGCATATGAGCAGTTAGCATTGCTCTTCCAGCGGCGATAGAATAAAGAATAACATAACGATATTCACTGCTAAGACTCAGCTCGCTGTTCAGTCGGAGAACGAAGCAAAAAAGAAGTGACATGATGTCGGCGACGCCTGAACGATGATAATGACGTCTTTGATCAGTCAACTTTTTGTGTCGTCACATTTCATTCAAGAGAGTTTGAGAGATCACAGCCACAAAAAGGACTACTAATTTGCATCTTTCAATACATATATCCCTTGAATCGCCATGTTGCCTTTAACATATTTTTATCTGTTCTTTATTTGTATTGGTATTGACAGCAGATCTATTATGTTCTGAGGTGGTACAGGTTCCCCAGCCTCCATTCCTCGCTTTTGTTGTGACATTTGTTGTGACACATTTCTCCTTACTTACCCTTTTTTATCGTTTGCTTTACACTTAATGCCTTCTGAGCTTGATTTAGGTATATCTTCTCACCCTCTTCTACCTTTACCAAAATTTTATTGAATTTAGGAACTTATCTCTATCATAACCTTCATTTCCTTTGAGCCGAAACCACTGATGAGTCTCCGATAGAAGTTGGGATGATGTTGAAAATGCGAAAAAAGCCATCCATATCCATCCAATCCTATTGGTTAGCGCTGATTGGTGTGGCTTGTCCCTTGTTTTTTTAATTTCATTTGACCTTATTGACTTTTTTACTTGATATTCTCCGTCATTTCGTTTGATTTGTTCAAGTGTAAGCTGAATGAAACGGATGCTGATAACCCTCCTGAATCCTAGATGACTGGCGTAGACCTGATTAGAATTTCTGCGGCTGTTCTTCATGCGAATGCAATAGAACAACAATAAGGAGCTGCTATTGCACCTATCTAAATAACTTATGGGTGTATTGAAGGTGGGACGGAGTGTTGTATTTATGTTAAAAAAGAGGCGCCCAGCGATATTCATCCTTTTGACCGCATAAGAACGGTGTTTGAATATTACTCCAAAACAAAATCATTTCAACGAAAAACTTCCAAGTGGATCTAGTATGGCAAGAGGACTAACCTGTGGAAATAAAAAGAATATAGAACGCACTACAGAATACTTTCTCTCGAGATGCTGCTATAGTGAGTAGAATGAATGTATAGAAAAATATAATGAAAGTCTCCAATAAAGTTTGCAGTATGCCCACTGACATTTCCTTCAAGGAAAAAGTGGAAAGTCATGTGGTACGTAGCAGTAAGCTTCGAAGAAACGCATTTTTCAATGCTGTGTTTGAGAATAAACTTAAACCTGAAGGAGTTACTGCTTACGGACCCCCTTCTTAGAACAACGAGTCTGATCATCCTTCAAAAAAGACTACAAGAATCGGATTATTATCACCACTACGTATGAACACATTATGCCAATCGAGAGGAAATATTTAGACTATGGAATGCTTTTAATGGAAAACAACTGTCAACTGACAGTTTGACAGAAGGCAAAAAATGATGAATGGATCTTAACTGACTCATCATTGTACACTTACCACTACCTTGTTCTACACTGCACCCTCTTGAACGTGTTGACTAGAAGTCCCTTACCACCGAATACGACCATTTCAGGGATATGAGGGAATCTGCACCGGATGATTCTTAAATTTTCAACTTTCTACTGTAATGAAACGAAATGATGAAGCAGTTCAAACTAAGCAAGTCGTTTGAAGCCAACTATCATGTTATAGGGTAAGACGGAAAGGTAGTAAATGGGCATGACTACAGAGTTTGCTAATTCTCTGAACATATGAAATACGGGTTGTAAAGAAAACTTGAGAAGACANCGGGGTGAACGCCATGGTTCCTCAGAAAGAAGTTGCACCTACAACCCATAACACACTGGACATTATCTTCCAAAACACAGACATTCGTGAATACTCGTCAGTAAGGTTGTCGGTATCTGGCCATATCACTACTCGAAGTTCTCTCTTAATTCCTCTTTTCCTTTGATAATTGAACGCTATACCAGTGGAGTGAGCAAAATTATGGATTGTGGCGGAACAGTTATACACATGTATGCATGCAGGGCTATCGCTCATAGCAAGGATAAAATACAGCCTTCAGAACCAGCCTAAGTGGGTTTAGTACGGTAGAGCACTGACGCTAGAAGCGGGCACGGTCTCTCTATGCGACGCTACATCACATTTGTATCCTAGATCATTGAGCAGCATTGTGAATCACTGGATATGTAAACAACAAAGCGAACTATTTTTCTAGGAGAAAATTATTCATCGGATACATTTTGAGGCTAAGTAAATAACTGCAATTGAACAACAGCGGATTGTCACCCGCTGCACAACTTACGTACAGAGTCATGTATAAAAAAAATTGGCTTTCACTCAAAAACAAGTGCTAGTAGTATGATCGTGTTTGTAAAATTGACTGTAAACCTAAATAAAATCTAGGGATTGTAAGAATGCCCTTGCCATTTGACAACTCAGTTTCAAGGAAAAAGAGTTCGGCCCAAAGAAAACATTTCCATCCGAAATAAGTCCTTTTCGATTTTACACTTTTCTACCATCGCGGTACGATGTTGTTAATCCCATTCTTATGCTAATCTAGTGGTTTGATTTCCGAGAATTCGAGAAGGCTAGTTTTTTCAGAAGGTCCAGTGAGACGTTCGAAAAAAGAAAGTTTATGGCTGCCTGGTGTGGTGAGTATGGAGAATAAGGAAGAGCTTTATTCAGCAATCCGATCAACTTTTCTCGACAACTTTCTGACGCATGCGTTCGCGCATTGTCATAAAAAAGCTGAGAGGCAGTTTGTTATGGCGATTCACTACTGTGAGCCGATCCAATTTCGTATTCAGTTGGTCACAGTAGGAATGTACGGCAGTGGCTTGTCTGAACGGAAAGCGTATAGTGGATAAATCTTCGGTAAGACTTGTACATCCTAACCTCCATCTTTCTCTTCTGCAGCGAACTATCTCGAAGAATTCAAAAATCTCGGGGAGTATCGAAGAAAACGCTTTCGCTCGAAGTGTATCGACTGACTTATAAATTGGCAGCAGTCAAGGAAATTAAGGAGCAGAAACTTCCCTAAACATATTATTAAGAATCGCTTCTTAATTGGTAGAAGTCATGCACCAGATAGGAGAATACTGGTGGGTCTCTTTCTTCATCTCCAGTTACTGTGAAGATCCTAAAATCCAGAAGCTTTCTAACATATGCTTCGTCTTTAAAGTCTTAAAGTCTTTTTGCTCTAATCAATCCCGTCTGAGGGATCTCCCCTCCCCCCTCCCGGCACTCGACTTCCATTCGGAATCGTGGTGGCGTAATAAGTGCGTATGTGGCCTACACAATGACTTGCGGTGGCCAGCCGATGTACAAGTCAGTGCTTTTATCCTCAAAGACGAGTCTGGTACCCATTAATCGACCCCGGAGTTACGAAAAGCTCGGTTGGCCTAAGCAGATATCGATAAGGGATCCCTGACCGTGCGTGTGACATAGTCGCCACTTGAAACTGCACCACCTCCTCAGACGTAAACTTCGTACTGGTAGCAAAGCACTTATAGAGTACCAATTCCGAGTGTGCAAAAGCGCCTTATGAGATGAGGGTCCACTAGTGAACGCTTTCTTTGTCGTAGCTTTTTCTTATTCTTTGCGTGACCCACCCCAAAAATTCAAAAAAGATGTTCACTCTGAAAGAATGGATCTTCTGGGAGGTTAGATTTGAAGGTATGCACTTAAAGTTCTCATCTTATCTTCCATCTGTGATGTTCGCCCATAATTATTGAGCTGAGAACGCCAATCATACCAATCTGACTGTTCCTGTGAGCTGTATTGCTCTCTAAGCGTAATTATGATAGGCACATGGAAATCATCTTACCTGACTGGAAATCAGCTTATCTATTGCAAAGAACTTATTTATTCACAAAAAAAAACAAAAAATGCCTGAGTGTTATTTGATAACAGCAATAACTTGCCAGGGATTGTTTGGAGTTATAGAAAATGAAGACCGGTCAAACTAGTTCAAGCTATTTTTATTTATAATGCGGCTCATAAGATGCTCATTATGTAGGAGCACAAAGTATAACAGCAGGATAGGAAGTTGTCTAAGAGTTGAATAACACAATCACACCACCATTGATCTTATTTCGCCTTAGTGCAATCGACGAGATACTTCTCTTTTCCATTCTCAAGTTTGACGAAATTGTAAATACAGTAGCTATCGAAATTTTTCGGCCAAATGCTCTTTCAATCGTTCTTTTTAGTCGCGATTCCTTTCCTACGGATTCTATTCATGCGAAATTTCAATATGTATAGTATGGGTGTATTGTAAATATTGCCCAATATTAATCTGAAATCTGAGCATCTACCACGTACCTCAAGGTACTTGAATTCAAAAGCAACTGGAAATACGGATATGGACCTCTCCAAAGACCTTGTTTCATGTCTCAAGTGTACGAGGGTTAGGTCCGAACATAGTTAGGGAGGAAAAGGCGCATAAGTTACGAATAATAGCAGACGTCGTCAACTTCTTTGACTTCAGGGAAGTCTGCTACCGCAACAAGCACCTTGCTCTTAATTACGTGGATATTGCTATTTTGCAGTCATAGTTTTGGACAGTATGAAATATGATTCAGTTACACTTACAAAATTAGGCACTATTTTATCCACTGAAAAAAATTACTGCTAAAAAATGTTTGGCCGAAGGCTTTTGATTACTTTTGCTACTGTATTCCTATTTGAACGCTATGACGGTAGTAAAGCGTGAGCTCGTTTATGTGTTAGACCTTGTATGTAACGCAGTAACGACGATGTTGACAGTAACACAAGTTTTCTTTCTTCGGAATAAGTTGAGCACAGCATTCCGAAGATCAGTACAGAATAGTAAGACAAAAAATGAAGGTATACTGACCATGATGTCGTTTATCCAGAAAAACTGAAACCAACAAATTAATCAATTTTAAAAGTGCATCAATCGGATTTTGCCCCAATTTTTCATCAACGTCCCCCTGGGTACTCTCTCAACTGTGGATACAGTTCAGAGTACAGTTTTTGTTGGTGTCGGCTCATTCTTCTTACTAGGTTCACAGAAAACAAATGAATGGGAGACAAACTGACTTGTTTACTTGCCCACAGATACATATCGTTGTTGTTGGCAATTGCGGCGATCCCTACAGTGAACTGTTGACAGCACATCAGCATTGTGAAGATAAACACAAAAACTGTGTACATTAGAAGATTCTAAATGAAAACATGAGCAGATATCGAGTCATGTCTAGCTAGTTTTCGAGGGATCTTAGTCTGCTGTTCCTTCAAGTACAGCAAAAACAAAAAAGCGGTCTTATTCTTATTTGTGAGGTTTATCAGATTCGGAGTAGATAGCTCTTGCCTTCTCGTTCCGACTATATCGTGCATAATCAGACATTTTTGATATTCTGTGCCATACAAAGAGCAGCCTTGCATTGAGAACAACGGTTACCGTAGCATAAACCACACAAGTTCCAACAAATGTACTCCTGATGAGCTGTAAAATCATTTTTAAGAAATATTTTTCGTTGTTATTTCACAGACAACTTCTCAGTAATAATGACTGTTACGGGAAGTCAACAGACCACGTCAATGTGTTTCTCAAAGCCTTTCAATTTAGTGGTCCCATCGCTGTTCTGAATATACTCCAGCTTTGACCATAATAGATATGAACAAGCAGCAAAGCTTGCAACATACTGAGTGCCTATAACAATCCACACGTTCTTTCGAGTCCAAATCTGGAAAAAATACTTTATAAGTCAGTGAATTGCAAAAATGCGTCCCAATGTTACATATGGGTCGAACTAGTCTTTCTACTCATTCTATTAATTATCTAAATGAAAATCTTATGCTAAATCGTGATTGCATTCGACTAACCTTGGCGTGTTTGTGCATGAGGCAAATAGACGTAAATCGGTTGACAGTAATAAACATATTTCCTAACATATGTGCTACGAAACTGATGCTACTAGCAGCAGCAAGTTTCGAAACGACATGCTGATATTCCTGGCCCAGAGCGAGTTCACGGTTCAAGCGAAGAAGAATATTCGCAAAAAGGGATATCACATCAGCAATCCCTTAATAGACATGATTAAATCAAAATATTTTTGCTAATACTAAA